GGGTACCATTCCCCTCTCCCCGTAATGATGTTCGGTGCGGGGCCGCCTCTCCCGTTTCGCTTCGCGCAGGCTTTCGCCACTCGATCATTTATGTGTGTTGTTTCGGTTTGGCCTTCAGCATGGCTCTCCCTTTGCAGCGTTGGCACATCCCAGGACAGTCACCTTGCCCCGTTCACGATCTCGCTTTCGCCCCAGCGCGGAGCCACAGTCGGTTTCCAACATGGTGTTCCCGCTGCAGCGATGGTAAGGGCTCCCACGAGGGCGCGAAGTTGTTCGCGCTTCGCGCTTCGTGGTCCTCGTTCCTTCTCCCCCTCCTCCTCGTCCTCCCTTTCTCCCTTTGGGGGGGCGGCGCGAGAGCGCAAAGTTATTCGCGCTTCGCGCAGCGCGAAGCGCGAAGTTGGGAGCCCTAGGATGGCCTCGTCTCAGGATCGGCGCTCTGCTCCCGTCGTTCCGAATGGCGCTCTCGCCCCACCGCGGACCACACCTGGATCCGATGCTTTCCTGCCACCCTCCTTTTTCCTCCTCCGTGCTTCCCTGGTCCTCCTGCTCCTACTGCTAGCCGTTCTGGCACAAGTTTTTTGTGCTTGTTGTCACTGACGGTTCAGAACGGCTGGGTGACAGCGAGTCATTATGGCTCCCGTTTCCTCCAGCCACGTCCTGCCACTTCCAGCAGCCGCAATGGTGCCGCCGCCGAAAGCCCAGCTTTGGGAGGAGCGCCCGCGTGCTAAGCGAGTTCGATTCGCCGCAGGAGGCGACGGAGCGGACCCTCAGCAGCGCGGGGGCGGACGCCAAGCGATGTGGAAGTGCAGCTACGAGGATTGTGGATGTGGAAAAAATCTTGCCAAGTGGTGGTTTCGTAAGCACTGCAAGCGTGAACGTGTCGATGTGCCTGTACGCGAAGTACCTGCGCCTCGTGGGAACTGGCAGCGGGGCCCACCGCCCTCGTCGCCAGCCGCCGTCACGGTGCCCGACACAGCGACTGAAGACGATGTCAAGCATTTGCTCGCTCTGGCTGAGAAGTTCGGTGATTCAGTTGCAGCTTCTATTACAATGTGTGGCTTGCAGCAAAGAAGCCCAAGGAGACCCCACCAAAGCCCCTGGAGAAGCAAGCAGAAGAGGCACGCCAGCGAGTTCAGTCTCTCGAGCGCCGCCTCAACAAGGAGATCGACGATGTCGCCAGGGCTAAGCAGTGGTTGTACGACTGTGAAGAAGCTATGGCCAAGCTCACGGACGAGCTGTCCACGGCCGACAAGGAGCACAAAGCCTTGGTCGAGCGGCTTCATCATGTGGTGCGCCCTGATCCTCCTCAGTCTGGTGGTAAGCTCTGCCTTCGTGATATCCTCGACGGCAAGGAAGGGGCCTTCACCATTGACTACGGAGAAGGCATCCTTGGCCTCGACGCCAAGGAGTACGAGTTATCCGCCGACGACCACAACCAGTTCGTGGCCAGGAAGCGCGAGCTGGAGCAGAGTGTGGTCGCCATCGCGAAGCAGTTGTTTGAGAAGGTGCAGCAGTCTGTGGACCAGATCAAAGCCTCCCACCGCCAGCACATGTCCAAGCTACACAAGCGGAAGCCTGAAGAAACTTCCGTCCAGCCCGCCGAGAAGGTCGCACGTGGCAACAGCCCCGCTGGAGCTCGGCCACCACAGGAACTTGGAGATGCAACAGCTGGTGAACAAGAGGCCGCCGCCGGCGGGGGCGGTGGTGCAGCCAGCAGCTCCGCAGGCGCCCACGGGGGAGCTCGCGAGGCTGATGCGCCACCGCGCCCCGATGTTCGACAGCGTGCGCAGGAACTGCTCGCCAACAGGAAGCCGCCTGAGCCGCCTTCCCAAACAACCCCCCCCGACGCTTGATGCTCGCGTGAGCAGCGTGTCGGGGGGAAATTTTTTTACACTTTTCACCTGCTATCGCCAGGCTGTGCCGTGTTCCCGCCCCCAAGGCTCCGTCCTTGAATTTTGGCAGTTGTCTCTGGGCCCCAGCGCGCTCGGATCTCGACAGTTTTGAATTGGTCGTGGAGACAGCAAATTGCACAGAGTGGAATGCGGCGAAAGCGTGGTTGAGTCGTACGACGGCTCATGTTGTATTTGTTCAAGAACTTCATCTTCTGGGTGACCAGGTTGGCGAGGCCTCTCAGTGGGGCCTCCGCTCAGGCTGGAAGTCCAGGAT